TTATATATGCAGTCAGTAAAATATCACATTTTGAATTTTCCATGTATTTGTTACATTTTTTCGGGCATCTATCAATGGTGAATAAATCTTCTTCTTTTTTGTTACTAAACAAAGAAGAATATTTTAGAATAGAAGAAGAATAATTTTAAACAAAATTTTATTTTTGACAATATGTCAAAAATAAAAATTTTTAAGTTAGTATTTATGACATTTAGGCTGGTTTGTAGCTATTCTATTTTTGTTTACAAATTAATTTTTTGTTTCTTAAGAAACTTCATCAAAATTTTTCAGAGAAACATTTATTAGAATAAGACATTTTTTTATTAATATTTTTTTTATTTAATATGTAAGCAGTAGTTTTATATAAAAAACTAATTTTATTTGGTGAGTTAACTAAGTCTAGTTCATCTTTGTAAGATATTTTGTATTTTTTAGAAGCTCTTGATAAAAATTGTAATCACAATTGAAAGCTCGAGTAAAAAATAATCAACAAATAGCCCCTTTTATTGACTCCAACCCATCAAAAACAGTTTTATATTTTTTCCAAACGAGTCACAAGTACTTTTTTTTTCTTACTCTTATATATATATATATATATATATATATATATATATATATATATATATATATATATATATATATATATATATATATATATATATATATTAAATTAGAATTGACTTTTGTTCTTGTACTGTTTATACATACACATTAAAAATCTAAAACACTTTTTCTCCGTGTAGATATTATTTGTATTTCTGAGATGATGTAGATCAGGAGTTGTCCAAGTTTTATACTTTTGTCAGCTTTTTCGCGCACAATTAAGAGGAAAAACATAAAAATGAAATAAAAAACTAAAGAAATGATCTACGATAACACAATACTCGGCCCACCGTAAAGTACCTACTTATATAAAATTAATAGATATTTAATATAGTGGAAAAAAGGCACAATCGGATAAACTGATTTTTTTAAGATCTAAAAACAACGGTCAAGAAAATAACTTTAAAAGACATAATGTCAAACTGTGACAGGAAAACTTGGATTGTGTACAAATTACAAGAAGATATGTGGAATTTTAGGAAGAAGGGTGTATTTATCCCAAAAAATCTTTGAAAAATTTAGAGTACGACCAAACGATTGGAAGAAGTAAACAAAAACAGAAGTTGAAGGGTGTCGGCCGATATGCGCTCGACTGTTTTGCGCTCTAACACTTAATGGAGATGTATAGCTAATTATTTTCTCATATCGACCGTTTTGCGCTCTCTTGTAATCGACGTTTAATTTTATTCTACCATAACGACCAGGTAACGGTTAGGATAGTAAAATTAGTTTTAAAAAATCATAAAACTATAAAAAAATAAAAATAAACCATCTTCCCTTCACGCTTTCATTCAGGTTTAGGACTGTCATAGTTTATACATAATATAAACATTGGCGTGTTTAGAAGATGTTCTTTTTTTATTTTTTTCGTTTTTTTTTATTTGTTAATTTTTTTGTTTCTTTTTAATTTTTTTTTGTTTTTTTTTCGTTTTTTTTTCAAACTTTTTGTACATTAAAATACAAAAAATTTTTGGGAATAAAAAAATGTCTATTAATTGCAGCTTCTGGATATATTCCAATGTCCTTAAGCACAATCTTAAGTACCTTCTATCTTTATATTTCTGTTTTGTTTCATCAAAGTTTTGGATATACTTTCATCAAGATTAATATATGTTTTCTTACGCCGCTTTCCTTCTAGCTTGAAAGTAAATGGATCATAAAGGTGATCACAATATTCTGCTTCTTTAACCAGGCACTTCTCTAATTGGAATACATTGGGATGTGGTCTTATTAATGTATTTAGACGATGATTCCAACCTTCTAAAACGTTATTACTGCGATTTGATCATGGCAATTCCACATTTCCTTGGTAATGTGAGTATTTTCTAACCATTGTTTGACAAAGTAGTCATAAAACTCTTTCATTTTTTCAGAAATAGGAGAGGTTTTTTGAACGCATAATCAGCCATCATCGATATCTTCTATGGCTAAAAACGCTAACGCAGCACACATTCTTATGTGCAAACGTATCTCTTCGTTGTCAGTGTATTCAGAAACAAGTCCAATATTTTGAACATTTTTCCATATACATTGATTAAAATGAAATTTACAACCAGAAATTTTGGCTTCGGAAAAATAATTTTCTAAGGCACCAATCACTGCCTGTTCAAAATCCAGTTTTATATTTCAATTTGGTAGTTTCTCTTTCATTTTGTTAGGTAGTAACGCAAATATCAATGGAATTGTATTTTTCTCCTCTGATGTAATACCAATATTGATATGACCGGTATATATTTGACTAAATTGCTTACTGCAGCTTTTGAATGTTCCATCCATAAATACAGTGCCCTTATTGTTAACGAAAATCTCCCTAGCTTTGATGCTGGCAAATACCAAGTTTTTGTATCCCGAGGTAGTGGTCTTGTCCATAAATAAAAATTTCGTTTTGTCGCTCATTGTAATAATTCATTCTGGAAATACTATTTTAGATGCTGCCGCTGGATCTGTGAGCAGTCCACGCGCACGTTTTCTACAATCGTTTAAACCACTTTTCACTGAAGATAATTTTGGGATGTCTGTCACGAAATCTAGTTCTTAACTACATAACCTTTAAAATTCATCTTGATATATTTTTGACATCGGTCAATAACTATTGTCTTCTCTAGCTCTTTTTCGAGCATTGAAGACACACTGCTTCACTTCTTTCGCTGCAACACTCGGCTTATACAGATTTTCGGCTTCCTTAATTATTGTGATATTATCCATAATTATGTGGTCTCGACATTTTTCAGTTTTCTCTTTCAAAAAATTCCAAAAAATCAAACCATCTTTATTTGTTTTTTTTTCATACGAAAACTGTACCCTTTATACAATGCACATGGTTTTCGCTTCGAAGTTTCAATAATTTGCACATCCATTTTTAAAACACTTTTGAAGAGTCCTATGAAAAAGCGGTTATTTTCCAGGTAGATAGATAAAGAAGATTGAGTTTATCAAATTGTTCGGCATATGTTCAGCATATGAAATCTACTAGTTTTACCGGTTTGCAATTACAAACCCAATATTTTGATTAGAAATAAAAAAAAACTATACTATTAGAAAATAAATTATTACTTTATTCAAAAGTATTGTTACAAATATCTGTACCTTAATAATCGATTAATAATATTTAGTCTAGACGGGATCTGTTTTGGATTGGACATTTTCCAGAGGAAACTATTTTTTTGCTGGAATCCCTTCAGGATGTGCTCAATATCGATAATCACGATATGCGCCAGTCGCAAAACCCTGTGCTAAATTTTTTATTTAACAAAATCTGAAAACAATTGAAAATTTCTCATTTTTTTGCTCCTAGTTTATAATTCGGAAAATATTGATCCTAGAAAATTATGAGAAGTTAAAAGTTTCGTTATTCAATTTTACACAATATTTCGTTGGGTAGAAATAAAAAATTTAATGTTTATTGTTGAAAAAATAGTAATAATTGGAAAAAAAAGACAAAAAATGAAGTTAATCCTTTAAATGTTTTTGACTTTCTAAACTTGACTTACAAGCTTCATATTCCGCCTAAAAAAACTTTTTAATATGTTTAAAATATGTGCTAAATTTTGTTAAGATCGGTCGTATAGGTTTTGCATAATAATTGTGCAATCCAGCCTACTGGAAAAAAATCGCAAATTTTAAAATATATAGTAGGCCCTAAATAAGACCCTCAGATAGTTGCAAATTTTTTTACGTATAAAGAAAGGCTTAACCTTTCAAACGCTTTTTGTAAAATTTAAATCGGTTCACTAGGAAAGCCTAAAATTTTTTTTAGTTTTAAACATTTTTTAGACTTATAAACAAATTGAATAACTTTACGAGCTTTAAACAAATCATTTTCGAATCAAAATATATTCTCAAATCAAATAATGTCATTACTATGATAAAACTGCAGAAATTAATTATTCTAAAAAGTTTGATTTTTACAAAAAAAAAAAAATTTGTTCGCCTTTGTTTTAACAATTCAAATTATTTATTAACAATTTATAAATACATATTTGTTTACTAAAAGTAACAATATATAATAACAGTAATAATTTGAATTGTTAAAACAAAGGCGAACAAATTTTTTTTTTTTGTAAAAATCAAACTTTTTAGAATAATTAATTTCTGCAGTTTTATCATAATAATGACACTATTTGATTTAAGAATATATTTCGATTCGAAAATGATATGTTTAAAGCTAGTAAAGTTATTCAATTTATTTATAAGCCTAAAAAATGTTTAAAACTTTTAAAAAATTTCTAGGCTCTGCTAGTGAACCGATTTGAATTATACACAACACGTTTGGAAGTTTGAGCCTTCCTTTATATGTAAAAAAAATGCAACTATCTGAGGGCCTTATTTAGGGCCAACTATAAATTTGAAAATTTGCGATTTTTTTTCCAGTAGGCTGGATTGCAAAATTATTATACAAAAGCTATCCGACCGATCTTAAATAAATTTAGCACACGATTTAAACATATTAAAAAGTTTTTATAGGCGGAATATGAAGCTTGTAAGTCAAGTTTAAAAAGTCGAAAACATTTAAAGGATTAACTTAATTTTTTGTACTTTTTTTTTCAATTATTGCTATTTTTTCAACAATAAACATTAAATTTTCAATTTTTAGCTAACGAGATATTGTGTAAAATTGAATAGCGAAACTTTTAACTTGATATAATTTTTTCTCTAGGATCAATATTTTCCGAATTATAAACGAAAATAGGAGCAAAAAAATGAGAAATTTTCAATTGTTTCCAAATTTTGTTAAATAAAAAATTTAGCACAGGGTTTGCGACTGGCGCATATCGTGATTATCGATATTGGACCCATCCTGAAGGGACTCCAGCAAAAAAATAGCTTCCTATGGAAAATGTCCATTATGGTCTGAATTTTTACAGATCCCGCCTAGTCTAATTGCCAAAAAGTCTAAATCAATTTTGAATTGACACAAATGGACCATTGAAAAAGCTTTCCACTAATGCTACCAGACGCTGCAAATATTTATCCCGTGATTTGATTTTCAGGTCATTAGTAAAACCTCCAAAGAACTCGTTACTTTCTTCATCAAAAAGAGCTGGTGTATCATCATTATCAAGATAAAACATTTCTAAGAAGGCTAGAGTCACAAATATGCCATAGGGCATGTATATTTTTAAATGTTCTTCGAAAATTCTTCGCGGAAATACTTTGTCAGCGTCACTACCTAATTGTTTTAGATATGAGCAAAACTCAGTATAGTAATATTCTACAAATTCTTTGAGTTTTAGAACTTCAGTTGGTGATATATTGACGTATAGAAAAATAGAAATATCGATAACTGGTGAATGAAGACATACTGCTTGGAAATCTATCAAAGCCATGCGTAGTGGAACTGTTTTATCGTCACCCTAAAAAAAAGTATTTATTAATAAGCAACTGGCAATCATACCTTTTAAATTTTGATGAATATCGATATTATTTTTGGTTTTAAGAAAAAGCAGATTACAAAAAGTAACTTTACACATTTTTGGTTAGAATTATATGTTGAACTTCTTAAAAATATAAGTACCGAGTGTGTGTGTCTGTAGGTGTGTGTGTATTTGTGTGTGTATGTGTGCGTGTGTGTTTAGGGTAATGACCTTGGTTTAGACCAATTGGCCAAATTTTATTAACATTATCATTTCCATAAATAAAATTTCCTAGCAAATATAAGTAAATATAAGTACCGAGAAATAACTACTGTTTTTTTATAAAATTAACCCTAGATTGCTAGTGTATGTAAATTTGACGTAACGATTTCAAATTTAGCGCGTAAAACTTCTACCGCCTATTTGATTAAGCTCATGTGCTAACTAGCTATGCTCTCTTCGAACTATCCTGTTAGTATGTTTAGATCCGTAACGGAGTACGTAAACGGATACACTTTAAGGCTCATCCTCGATAATCCTAACGGTAAATTTCAGTTTGCTATCTCTATTTCAAAAATTTCTTTCTTTACAAAAACAAATCTGTCATGAAGTAATATTCTAAACTTCGTATCTCTCTCAAGCCCAGGTCAAAAATGCGTTTACCTTTTACTCGAGCCCATTATACACCGAGACAACCCCTGCAGTGACAGGTTTTGTGGTGTTTAGTGGTGTTTTGAGTAAATATAATAACAGATCAAAGTAATATAATCTATTCATAAATTTACAATGTAACAAATGTACATACATAATTTATTTGTTTTTTTTATGGAAAAATTGGCTGTCTGAAGTTTAACGTAGATTAAAGTTTACGGAAAACAAAAATTATAAAAAAAAGATTATTATTACATATCATAAAAATTTGATTAGTATCACGATCATTAAAATTGATAAAATGAAACGATATAAATATAGAATTATGTCTAATGTTTCTTCAGAAGGTGTTTCAAATAAAAATTATAATAAAAATCTTATCTAATTAGTATCACGATCATTAAAATTGATAATATGAAATTATATAAATATAGAATTATGTCTAATGTTTCTTCAGAAGGTGTTTCAAATAAAAATTATAATAAAAATCTTGAAATTTTTGTAGCATATTTTCCCACAGTTCCATATATTTATCAATCTTTTCGAATAAAATATTTTTTGGGATCAGATGTATACTGAGTACTTATTTCAAAAATTTACAACTAAGGATTTAATTTGTTATATGTAAATATACTCCTAGATCTAGAGAAAATGGGAGTGCGACAATGGGAATTACTGGCACACGACCGACAAACATGGAAGGCAATAGTAACCGCGGCAAAGACTTACGAAGAGTTGTAGCGCCATTGATGATGATGATGATGATGAAATATACTGTATAACTATTTATATGGATGTGAAATATGGATCATGAAGGATAATATGATGGACATTTTAGGATGTACGTTGAAAAATTAAGGCAAATATCGAGCACAAATTTAATAATCAAATCTTGCAAAAGTACTTTCGCTTTCTACAGCATCATCAGGGACATCTGAAATAAGCCAAGCAAAGTTTTTTTAAATGAAGAAAATTAATAAACTTCGATAAAAACCTCGAAGTTAATGGACGATAAAAGTTTTTTGTGATTAACATTTTAGAATTACTTTGTCAAATTTGGGCTATCCAGCAAGCGCAGATGCCCCTGATGATGCTGTAGAAAGCGAAAGTACTTGGGCAAGATTTGATTATTAAATTTGTGCTCGAAATTTGCCTTCATTTTTTAAAGTTCATTTATTCGAGCATTCAACCTTATATCAATAATTTAGGATGTGACTCAGGTATATGATAAAGTATGGCAAAGACGCCATAACTATAAACTAAGACTACATTTACCAAAACGATACTCTCAAATAATTTACTCCTGCATCTTGGAAAGATATTTCAGTAATAAACAGGAAGAAACATACATGGAATTGACAGATATTACAGCAGGGCTGCCGCAAAGAAGTGTCTTTACCTTTTGTATACGTGTTGTATTATTGTCCTAGAAAATATACAATTGCAACATTTACCGAAGATATTGCTATCATAGCAATGTGCAAAACCAGCAAGGAAGCGACAAAGAAATTACACAGATGTTAATCAAATATATACTCAAGGGAAATAAGCAAAAAATAGACCATGTTCGTGACACTCAATAATCCAGGTCACTGACAACTTTTTTAGTTATTGTAGACCTCTAGGAAAAAAACCTACTTGTTTCTTGCCTTGAATCTGAAGCTGTTTTTTAATTATTGACAATTTGATGCAAAAAACGCGACTGTTTCTATGATTATTGATACTAGTATTAAAAAAAATAGATTTTTGGAAGAAAATTGTTTTGCACGAATTGTTTAAACAAACTAGACTATTTATTAATTAATTAATATATAAACAAATTACTAATTCCTAATGTACGTAGAAATTACATACAAATTAAAAAAAGAATGATCAAAATCCATTGAGTAGATCCGGAGATATAGAAAATTTTATTAGTTCGAAATTGCTTGTTCGGTATGGATCTGTAGGTTCTTCCTAGTCACCATTTGAACTACATTTCTGAAAATTCGTAGAGAGTCCTGTAAAGGTACAATGTTTGTGCAAATTTTTTAACAAAAAATACAAATCCCATTTCTTAACATGGCAAAAAATGAGGTTCCTTAATTATTATAATCAAATTAGCTGTGAATTATCATCTTTTCTTTGACTTGATCTACTACTTGTTGTAATTGGTCGTAAAACACTTCCCTTGTTGTTTGAGGCTTATTATTTTCTGGGCCGTATACTCCGATAATGTTCAGGTTTTCCTTTTCCATTCTTATCTTTGATGTTACTATTCTTTCTGATATGTATTGACACTCTTTGATGTAATTTTGATACCTTTGGTGTATTAGTAAGGCTACACCTTCTTTGGCCCTGTTTTCTTTTGCTACTCCACTGTAGATTAGTATGTATTCACCTAATTTTGATTGACCTTTTTCTTTATTTTTTGTTTGCTGTAGAGCACACATGTCTATTTCTTTCTCTTTCAACACTTGGGTTATTTCTTGGTCCCTTGAGTTGAGTGATCTGATATTCCAAGTAATTCTCATCTGGGTTTTGGATGTTTTTCGCTTGTCCTTATTTCTTGCCGTAGTCGTCTTCATAGTATCAATCCAGTTCCGAGACTGTACATTGTTTCTTTGAGCAGTATTTGATTTTACGATTGGTAGGTTGCTGAGCAATAAATATAAATAATTAAATTTCATATTCAAATACTGCAAAATATTTGCTTATTACTCTGAGCTCATGTAAAGAAGAAAAGAAAATAATAATTTTGATTGAAATACAAAAAAAAAATGTACTGGATGATTGACCAAAACTCTACGCTGTTTCTATATAATAAATTATTATTATATAAGCAAATACTGAAATAATTGTATTATTATAAAAACAGTATAAATATTTAGAAGGAAAATGGAAAATCAACAGAAAATATTTCTATACATATAAAAATTTAATAAAATTATAGGTACTTACTGCTTATTTATATAAAATTTGCTATTTTAAATACAATAAACACACTGGTTTGTCAAAAGTCGAAATAAGCCCTAATAATGTTATTCAACTTTATTTATCCTCCTCCGAGGGTTTTACCTACCTGGCGAGAATCCAGAAGCTACCGACAAGGACACCCTGTGCTGACGGAGAGAAAATTGCATTTAGCGGAAATTTAAATTTTTTAAAAGTTTATATCAAATAGCTGCTTTGTGTTACACTTTATGTTAAAAATAAAAACAGATTCGGAAAGTGGGTCAAATTCTGTAGTGCCCTATTTCAAAAAAAAAATTTTTAAGTTTATTTTAACCAAAAATATTTGAAAAAAAAATATTGTTTAAACAATTTATTAAATTACAACCAAATAGTGCACTAGAACTTTTTTAGACCTTCCACATAAAAAAAAAGAATCATCTCAATATCTGCCATAGTTTTTGCGTTATTTGATATAAACTTTTACATTGGAATTTACCTATGCCCAGAATCGCGAGGATCGGCCTTAAACGTCTAGAGTATAACTGGCAAAATAACGATTTTTTTATTATGTTATTTTCATAGTCTATACTTTGTACGTTTTCTAGGTTTTCTGTACCATACCAACTTGTGTCTGTGCTACTTTCGGGGGATACTTATTTCAAATTAATTTGGGAAATGCTAGAAGAACTAATCGATGACGGCGAATTTGAGGAGGATAATGTGGCAGTAGAAGATAGTGCAGATTCAGACGACGAGAACCTGGATGACAGTTTGAATGATCTGGATTTTTCTCTTGAAGTTCGTGAAATTGATGATGATATTATCGCTTTTATAAAACAAAATATAGTTATCGCGACATCTTCAACAACATCGAGTAACCGAAAACGAGCTGAAAGGAACTGAAACTGTGTGAAATGTTACGGACTTTGAATTTATAGTAAAACCAACTTCAACAGAACTACTTGGGAAAAACGGGTACATATGGAAAATTACTGATAAAATTTCAAATACTAAAATACCTAAGACGATGCTTGGACATATAAAGCTAGGACCCACACCAATTAAAAATTATACTTTTGATATCCGTGAGTACTTCAATTTATTTATTAATACGAGAATAAAAAACGAAATCGTCTTACACACCAACGAGAAAATTCGTCGCTAAAGAATGAACTACAAAAATACCACAGACTCTTCTGTAAAAGACCCGTGCCTAGAAGAATTAGATGTACCTATTATTTGGTCTGCTGCGTTGAAAGATATCCAGCCATCCGGCCAAGTATTGTTTAACAGCAAGTATGGTGGTGATAGATACAAAGCTACCATGTCGAGAAGAAGGTTTAATTTTCTTATAAATTGTCTAAGGTTTGACGACAAAAATACATGTAAATAGTGATTACTAGGGACAAGACTTG